TTAAAGATAGTACTAACTGTAACGTGTAATTTGGTAGAAACGGAGTCAGACAGAGATAAAATACATAAAACGTCAGAGACTCTTGAACATTCATAGGAATGAGCCTGCACTTCTCCATATTTTTATGGAAACACTACAATACAGCAAAATAATGACAGCATTTTTTTTTTTTTTTTGAGACAGAGTCTTGCTCTGTTAGTGGAGTCAGTGCGGATTCGCTACTGCCTCGCTTGGTTTTGTCATTTTGTCACTCCGTAGCTGTGAAGGCGAGCCATTCCCTATTTTTTTTTTTTTAGTAGACGGTTTACGTTTGCAGATGGTTCGATTTATGTGATCCCCCCTCGCCTCCAAAGTGCGATCACTTGGCCCTCCGCCATGATATTTATGAAGTGAAGTGGGTTTATTAAACCACTCCAGGCATGTTATATTAGTTTGTTTTCCCACTGCTACAAAGAACTACCTGAATTTGGGTAATCAATAAAGAAAATAGGTTATTGACTCATAGTTCTGCATGGCTGGAGAGGCCTCAAGAAACTTGCAATCAAGGCAGACTGTGAAGGGGAAACAAAGAGACGGCTCACATGGCAGCAGGAGAAGTGGGGAGAGCTACCACACACTTTAAATTTTCAGATCTCCTGAGACCTCAATCGCTATCATGAAAACAGCATGGAGGAGCCACCCCATGATCCAGTCACCTCTCACCAGGTCCCTCCCTGGACTTGTGGAGATTCCAATTCAAGATCAGATTTGGGTGGGAACACAGAGCCAAACCATATCTCATGTCCAGCTCTGTCCCGGAGTTGGCTCAGGGATCAGGTGCGTCCTGTTAATAGGAGCTGGGACACCAAGCTCCCAGCCCCAGTTGTAGCTGACGTCATGCAAAGGCCAAGATATGTCAACTGAGATTTAGTGTGGATGTGATACCTGATGGTGACACACCCTCAGACCAAGCGGATATGGAAGGGATAATTATCTCCACACTAGAGGTGTCTGCTGAGAGCAGGGCAGTTCTCTCAGGAAAGTCCACAATGGCTTGATAGAGCAGGGAAGGAGACGGGCTCAGGGTTTTTACCATGGTTTGGCGGTGGGGGGAGACTGAGTGTTTCCGCTCACAGAAGGGGTTGGTAGAGTAGGAAACTCCCACTCGCATCAAATAAGGCAGCTCCTGTGATTCTGACTGATATTCACCTTGTGTGTAAAAAAGGAGGTCATGGAGGAATGAGCCTTAAGCTATCAGCAGTCACACACCAATATGCAGTGTGACAAGTTATTCTATGTAGCAACTATAAAAATAACGAATAAGAAAAGAGATAAGGGTTCAATATGATGGACAATACCAAGGTCTACAGAAAATGAGACGAGTGTTTATAAGTCAAAGCAAATAGTAATGAGAAGCAGGAGGAAGGTGTGGGGAATTAGACAGGGGTCCCGGTCCAATGACTTGGGTGGAAACGTTTTACTATTAAGGGTTATCAGCTTAGTCTGAAGGTCTTAGGTCAGCTATCTGTTTAAAAACATCAGAAACACCAGAGGATCTTTGAGGATGCTCAGTTTAACGTCTCCTATTTTATTAGCCTTGCAATCCTGTGAATTATTATTATTATTATTATTTTTTTTTTTGAGATGGACTTTCGCTCTTGTTGCCTAGGCTGGAGTGAAATGGCACTATCTTGGCTCACCACAACTTCCAACTCCCGGGTTCAAGTGATTCTCCTGCCTCAGCCTCCCAATAGCTGATATTACAGGCATGCACAACCACACCCAGCTAATTTTGTATTTTCAGTAGAGACGGGGTTTCTCCCAGTTGGTCAGGCTGGTCTCAAACTCTGGACCTCAGGTGCCCCCCTTGCCTTGGCCTCCTAAAGTGCTGAGATTATAGGTGTGAGCCACTGCGCCAGGCCAAAAATATTATTGATTCTTTTTTGTTTGTTTTTAGAGTTGGAGTCTCTCTCTATTGCACGTTTGAAGTGCAGTTGTGTGATAACAGCTCACTGTTGCCTTGAAATATTGGCTCACAGAATACGTTCATATGTATGGTGCAGGTGTGTGTCTGTGTGTGTTTACCCGGCATGGGGTTCTCTGATTTTTGGGTCTGTGGTTAGGTGTTTCACATTCTTAACATATTTTTCTTAAGAAATATATCTAAGATATAAGTATATCTTAAGGTATCATTATTTCTTAAGATATTTTTCTTTGTGTTTCTAACTTCTATTTCTGAAATTTGAAATATATCTACACTATACTTTTTGATATTAGTTCTTATATTTCTTCACTCATTTTCCCTTTGAAATTCATTTTGTGTAATTTCCAGTAATGGAGTTTAAATTCCTGATTTCATTTATAAGCTGAGCAAATTCTAAGCTGAGCGTACCCAAGGTATATTCAATTTTATACTGAAACACTTTTGATAATTTTATGAATTTCCGTTTGATTCTTTCTTAGTATTTCTGTCTGTCAGTTGCCTATCTAATCTTGCATTGTGTCCACATTTTCTTTCAGACACTTTTAACAAATTAATTTTAATTACTTTAAATATCCTACTTAATAAGATAGTTTTAATATTGTGTCATTTACAAATACCAATTCTGATGATTTTTCCATTATGACTTTGGTGTTTTTCATTGATGTATGTTAATATTTTTGTTGATAGCCAGCCACGTTTGGACCCTTGATATTGACTTATTATTTTATTTTGTGCATTTCTGCCTGTGTTTTACCGCACCCTATGTTTGCTGGGCCTTGGTTGTGAAGATGTCTGTGCATCTCTTCAGAGTTATATTTGACATTTCCTTTTGCAATGGCTGTAGCAGTTGAAGTGTGTTCTTCTATGTCCACCAGAGACTTCATATCCTCTAGTGAGACCTTGTTTATCATGCCTGCTTGGCTTTGAATATTCACCTCATTCCATTCTACAGAGAATCTCTTTCACGTTCCTAGGGTGAATTAAAGTGTTATATTTAACTGCCAATTGTGAAATTAGTGGAAGGCATTAGACTAAAGGAAGAGTCTCTGACCTCTCGTGGGGCCATATTTCTAGAAAATCATTGTGATCCTGAGTCTGAGCGTGACCTTCCGAGTTTTCCCGACCCTCCTCCAAATGGGGTGCTGGTCTGTGTCTTCTTGCCTCTTCCCCTGGGGTAGAGTCCCCCTGTTTCCCCGGTTGTCCCCTCCCACTGCTCTAATCCTCCCTGTTGGCGTCTCCATCTTCCCCATCTGCTGCCATGACCTGCAGATTAAGGCTCTGATTCCATAAGAAAGTGAGGGAGCTGCTTCTCAGTAGATCTTTGATGGGGACCTCTGTTCCCATATCAACTCGTGAGGGGTTGCTTCAGTGCCCTAGGATACTGATTTTCATGGCCTGCTCCTGCAGGGTCATATCTTAGTTTTGTAGTGGGAATCAGAGAGCTGGGTCTGGATGCGTTTCAGAAGTGTGGGCTCTCATTCTCTCCCAGACAGTCACTTTGGGAAAGACAGATTTTTGTGACTGTAAAGGATTTAAGGGAATCAGACAACTCTTCAGTATGTTGTCCCTTAGAATTTCTCACTACAACACGCTTCGCATACTCGACTTCAAGCAATCCAATGTATATTTGTGCTCCATCTTGTAATGGCCTACATTGAATACGACAGACTCTGCCTCAGGTAATTTCATATCTTGGCTTTATTACTCTACACAAGAACTTGCCTCTCCCTAGATTTCATTTTTTTTTGTTTTAAATCTTCAATTATCTGAAGCATTAAATAAAACTTGCAAAATTCCATATTTTCTATTAATCTGTTATTGCTGATGTTATTGTTTCAAAAATAAATACATATATATATTTCTCATTTACGTACATTTTTAAGCTGAGCAGCATACTTTTTTAAGTAAAACCTAGAATAATAAAAGAATCCAAATATTTTTCAGCTGCCCCCCAAAAAAACCAAATTATGGTAAATGTGTTCACTGGAATACTACTCAACATTATAATAAATATATTTCTGGCACACAGAACAACAAAGAAAAATATCTAAATGTTTATGATGAGCAAAATAAGCCAGACAAATAAGAATATACACCATGTTACTCCATTTATGTAATTTCTTTTAAATGAAAAAGAATCTAAGGTAATATCCAGAAGATCAGTAGTTACCTGGGAAAACGGTAGACGAAAGGAAGGGGAAAGGAGGAGACATACAGAAGAACAAGAGAAAATGTTGAGGAAAACTCACTTGTCCACTTTGGTAATGATGACACATCATGTTTATCAACTGCACACTTTAAATATGTGAAGCTATTATCTGCCAAGTAACACTCACAAAATTTATTGTAAACAGACAAATGAAAAATTAGACAAAGAAAGGGTGGTATAAAGACAGAAAATGTATATTAAATGTCAGAAATGTCTGAGAATTTAACTCCTGAATCCTAGTTCCCTCCTTATTTTTAGGTGAATGGTAGAGTGCAACAAAATCACACGTATTCTCAGTACAGGAAATGGGTTCCACAAAGCATACTAGGTATGTCCAATTCTTACCAAGATTTGGTTCAGGGAGTAACAGTGATGAGGAATAACAGGCTCAGATATCGGGGCTCAGTCATCCCAGACATAGGCTCCTAGACACACACTTAGCCCCTCCTCCATGTGTGGGTTTACTTCCACATATGTAAATAGAGAAACCATTGACTCCTACGGAACACGATTTACACAAATATATAAAAAATAAAATAGTGCAAAATATTGATCACAACAAAATTTCCTAATAAGACAGCATGTTTTCCAAATACCATCATTGTCACCCAACTCCTGCGGGGCCTGTCATTTTATCTGGGGTCTGCCATCTCCTCAGGGTTCCCACCCCAGAGCTCTCTGTGTAGTAGGAGATATGCAAATAGGGCCCTCCCTCTGCTGTTGAAAACCAGTCAAATCCTGACCCTGCAGCTCTGGGAGAGGAGCCACAGCCCCGGGATTCCCAGCTGTCTCCACTTGGTCATGAACACTGAACTCAGAAGACGCACCATGGAGTTTGTGCTGAGTTTGGTTTTCCTTGTTGCTATTTTAAAAGGTGATTTATGGAGAATGAGAGATATTGAGTGTGATGGGACATAAGTGAGAGAAACAGGGGCTATGTGTGGTGGTTTCTGACCAGGCTGTCTCTGTTTTTGCAGGTGTCCAGTGTGAGGTGCAGCTGGTGGAGTCTGGGGGAGGCTTGGTAAAGCCTGGGGGGTCCCTGAGACTCTCTTGTGTAGCCTCTGGGTTCACCTTCAGTAGCTATGTTATGCACTGGGTCCGCCAAGCTCCAGGAAAGGGTCTGGAGTGGGTCTCAGTTATTAGTGAAAGTGGTGGTACCACATACTACGCAGACTCTGTGAAGGGCCGATTCACCATCTCCAGAGACAACGCCAAGAACTCACTGTTTCTGCAAATGAACAGCCTGAGAGCCGAGGACACGGCCGTGTATTACTGTACTAGAGACACAGTGAGGAGAAGTCAGTGTGAGCCCAGACACAAACCCCCCTGCAGGGTACCTGGGACAACCAGGGAACGCCTGGGACACTGTGCATGGGGCTGTCTCCAGGGGCAAGTGCAGGTGGTGCAAGGGCTTGTCTCCCGTCATGGTCTGGAGCTGCCTTGCTACCCAGTTACCCCAGGGAATTTCTCTAGATTTATAATTCTGTACTAACATTTGATGTTTTCTCTGACTGGGAAATGTCCCCTCAACCTTGTATCTTTTTTTTTTTTCTTTTTGTAACAGGAGGACACATCCACACCCTGCAGAAGCCTGAGTGTCACTTTGGGGGCAGAGATGACCCTGCCTTGATCACACTGGTCAGTGTCCTGAGGAGCACACCCCACAGGGGACCCCGATGACTCCAGTAATGGCTCTGCCTCAAAACCACTGAAGAGTCCTTCCTTTCATTAGAGTAGACCACAGTGCCTGGGCTTCAGCACAAGCCGTCCCATAGATGTCACAGAGCAGCAGCTTGACACCTGATCCATGTGACGTTCCTGCCTTTAGAGACGGGGAGAGGGGTGTGTTCTCAAGGTCAACACACTCTTTGTGGATTTTGAAACAGAACACCTGCTTTTACTTTATTTCATTTGAAGATAAATGAACAAATACGCATCTGCAAATGATTGCAGTTTTCACATTTATTCCAGTTCCATTATTTCTTAGTTCTGCGTGATGTCCTGCTACAGGGTTGTGTTTTCTATAGGTATTTTTCAACAAACCAAGAAAATGCCTTTTCCACTTTCACTGGTTTTTCTCCATGTGCAGAGACCTTGAGTAGAGCATGTCTGACTGCATTTGTCTGTTTTCACACTGCTGGTAAAGACTTACCAGAGAATGGGCAATTTACAACAGACAGAGTTTTTTTGGACTTACAGTTTCACATGGCTGGAAAGGCCTCACAATCACAGTGAAAGGTGAAAGGCACATGTGACATGGCAGCAGACGAGAGAAGAGAGTTTGTGCTGGGGTCTCCCCTTTTTAAAACTGTCAGATCTCATGAGACTCATTCACTATTATGAGAACAGTGCAGGAGAGACCCACCCCCATAATTCAGTCACCTCCCACTGGGCCCCTCCCACAACATTGGGAATCATGGGAGTTTCACTTCCATATGAGACTTGAGTGGGGACACAGCCAAACCATATCATTCCACCCCATGTCCCCTCCCAAATCTCATGTCCTCACATTTCAAAACCAATCATGCCTTCCCAACAGCTCCCCAAAGTCCAAACTCATTTCGTCATTAACTCAGAAGTCCACAGTACAACCTTTCATCTGAGACAAGGCAAGTCCCTTCCACTTATGAGCCTGTAAATTCAAAAGCAAGTTACAGGCATTGGGTGAACATACCCATTCCAAGAGACAGACATTGGCCATAACAAAGAGGCCCCACGCAAGTCCAAAATCCAGCAGGGCAGTCAAATCATAAAGCTCCGCAATGATCACCTACAACTCCACTTCTCACATCCGGGACATGTTGATTCAACAGGTGGGTCCCGATGGTCTTGGGCAGCTCCACCCCTGTGGATTTACAGGGTACGGCATCCCTCCTGGCTGCTTTCACAGGCTGGTGTTGAGTGTCTGTGGCTTTTCCAGGCACACAGTGAAAGCTGTCAGTGGATCTACCATTCTGGGATCTGGAGGATGGCAGCCCTTTTCTCACAGCTCCACTAGACAGTGCCCCAGTAGAGACTCTGTGTGGGAGCTCTGGCCCTATATTTCCCTTCCTCACTGCCCTAGCAGAGGTTCTCCACAAGTGCTCCACCGCTGCAGCAAACTTATGACTGGACATCCAGGTGTTTTCATACGTCTTCTGAAATCTAGGCAGAGGTTCTCAAACCCCAATTCTTAGCACTCTTTCCATAATGGTTCACTTCTTTTGGCCTGTTCATTACTGGTATTTTTCAAAGGAATCTCACTTGAATCTTTCCTCTTTTGCTTTTTGTCTCCATGACAATGTTGAGAAGTTTTACCTCCAGCAACATAAGATGATCTAGTGACCTGACCCATTTGTGGCAAACAATATCTACAAATTCAGAAGCTCTTTGTTTTTCTTTCCATGAATTATAATTCTTTCTGTTATGTGTATAAGCATATCCTAGCAACCCTGTACACACCCACATACAGGTCTACAAGCTTATGAATTATTCTCTGTAAATAAAAATTTATCTCAATTTCCCTCAATGTTCATAATTCTCCTGAGGGTGAGGAAGGTCCTTCTCGATCTGTTCAAACTAAATGCCCAGGGACCATCTGGTAGGTAAGGAGCTCACCTGGCTCTGGTGTGGGGTCTGTCTCTTTCCCTCTGTTGTCCCACAGGTAAGCCCAGTTGTTCAGGTCCTAATAAGACAGCCCAGGTTTGTCCTGATTTCAAAACACATCAAACTTCTGAAGACTCTTCTGTTATCCACATCCAAGGAGATAGATTGTTTATTACATAATTCACCAAACTAATGTCAAATGCACAAGTTGCAATACAGCACATCCTAGAGTGTGTTCATGCAAATCAATGGAGGATAAAGTCTTTCAGAGACAGACGGACCTGAAATGATAAATATGTGGGTAAGGACTCTGGGCTTGATAAATATGTGGCTGTTTCACAAGCGTGACCTGTCAGGGAAGGACCAGAGTTTCCTGTGCTCTAGAGGAACCACAGAGTTCCTCTCTGGTTCCCAGGAAAGGGAATCGCACTAATCTTCATGATCTTCATGAGACTGTCCTCCAGGGCTGACCTGTTATAGAGTTTTTGTCTGAAGTTGTCACTGCAATCCAGAATCTATATATTTTTAATCAGAATTGTTTAGAGACCAGGCCACATCTTCAAGGTCACATACTGAGAAGAATGGACACATGTCCCACTACCTTCTCCTAAGATCTCAGACAGAATCCCAAATACCAAAAGGTCACAGAAGGACAGCTCTCAGGTGCTTTTATAAATGACCCACTTCCAGGGACAGTGAGCTTCCCTCTAACCATGAAGGATGTTCTGAACTACAATAAACATTGGATGGATCCAGGATTGTTTGAAGTCACTGTCATTATTACATTCAGCAGTTGTTTCAATGTGTCTGAAGTAGTAAATGACCATTTAAATGACCTGGATGTGTGGTTGGTTTTATATGAATCTTTAAGGGTAGAAGAGTTGACTCTATTCCAAAATCTGTCCCTGATCCATGATCACATTCATCTCCCAGATCGGCTCCTTCAGCACTTTTCCTACCTGGAAGAAGAGGACTCTGGGCTTGGTGAGGGGAAGCCCCAGGAAGAGACATGAGTTCTCAGAGGGCAAAGTCAGCATCCTACTCCCAGGGTGAGCCCAAAAGACAGGGTCCTCCATCCTCTTTTTACACCTCTCCATACAAAGGCACCACCCACATGCAAATCCTCACTTAAGCACGCACAGGAAACCACCACACTTTTTCTTAAATTCAGGGTCCAGCTCACATGGGAAATGCTCTCTGAGAGTCATGGACCTCCTGTGCAAGAACATGAAGCACCTGTGGTTCTTCCTCCTCCTGGTGGCAGCTCCCAGATGTGAGTGTCTCAAGGATCCAGACATGAAGGTATGGGAGACTGTCTCTGATCCCAGGACTCACTGTGGGTCTCTTTGTTCACAGGGGTCCTGTCCCAGGTGCAGCTGCAGGAGTCGGGCCCAGGACTGGTGAAGCCTTCGGAGACCCTGTCCCTCACCTGCGCTGTCTCTGGTTACTCCATCAGCAGTGGTTACTACTGGGGCTGGATCCGTCAGCCCCCAGGGAAGGGACTGGAGTATATTGGGTATATCAGTGGTAGTAGTGGGAGCACCTACTACAACCCCTCCCTCAAGAGTCGAGTCACCATTTCAAAAGACACGTCCAAGAACCAGTTCTCCCTGAAGCTGAGCTCTGTGACCGCCGCGGACACGGCCGTGTATTACTGTGCGAGACACACAGTGAGGGGAGGTGAGTGTGAGCCCAGACACAAACCTCCCTGCAGGGAGGCGGAGGGGGCGGGCGCAGGTGCCGCTCAGGACCAGCAGGGGGCGCGCGGGGCTCACGGAATACAAGGCCGGCTAAGGAGCTGGCTGAGGAGCTGGGTCAGGAGCCGTCAGGAGCCAGGGCAGGGTGGGCGGGGCTTCCTCACCTGCTCAGTGGTCTCCCTCCTCACCAGCACCTCAGCTTTCTGTAGGGCTCCGCTTTATTATCTGTGGTTCTTCTTCCTCACATTCTTATGCCAGGAAAGAAACGAGGAAGACAAATTTTCCTCTTATAGTTGAAGTTTCACCAATTACTAGGAACTTACCTGAAAGTTCCTGCATGGTCCATTATAACTGATTGTTTAAATATATATATATATTCTAATGGTTCTCACCATCTGTTGATTTGTGTCATCAGTTGAATTGTTCCCTCTTTAAAATTCATATGCTGAAGCCTTAAATTCAATGGATCTCTATTGGAATTTTAATGATACAATTAAGGTTAAATGTGGTCATAAGTGTAAGACCTAATGCAACAGACCTGTTGTATTTATAAGAAGAGGAAGGCACACCAGAGACCTCTCACTTTTCACGTGCACGCAGAGAACAGGCCATGTGGAGACGTAGTGCACTAGAAGGTGGCCAAGTGCAAGCCAGGAAGAAGCCGCACCAAGAACCAAACCTGCCAGCACCTTGATCTTCAACATTCAGACTTCAGAATTGTAAGAAAATCAATATTTGTTGTTTAAGCCACCCACTCCGTGTTGTCTTCTTATGAAGACCCAGACAGACTAATACCACATGACTCTGTTAGCGCTGTCCCCTGGATGGAGAATCAGCCCCTGGGCACATCTCTCAGATTTCTACATAAAGTAGGCAAAAAATAGTAGCTGTGATATAAAAACTTGTCATGTCCCTGTTGGCCAGTTTCTGGGCAAAGTGTTTTAAAGAAGCCCTTAGGGCTTTGTCACAAAAGTTGTCTTTTATCTTTTCTTATGACCTAACTAATGGACAATGGGTACCAGCTGGATGGAGACTGACCACTGACCGTCTTCTGCTGACTCCTTAGTATGCCACAGAAAACCACACCAACATCACTCTATGTCTCCAACTTTCTAAATTTGCACTGAATCTATTGCTAAATGAGGAGTTACATGAGGTCTGAGTTTTGTTCCCTTCTTCCCAGTCTTCCTCAATTACCAAGGGCAGAAGAGACTTTCAATGAAAATTGGCTGTCAATGCCCCCAACACCACATCACTTTTTAAAGTCCAGGAACTTTATTTGGGGGATAGTGAAACACACTTTTAAATGGAAAGCCCTAAAGCACATACAACAGCTGAAAGAATGGCCACTGTGCACCTGAAGGCTGATGAGGCAGATGGTAGGGTACCTTCCTCCAAGATGGTCCTGGGTGTGTGATGGTTGGATGCCTCATGCATATGGAATTAAGGACTGGACTGAAGTAGAAACAAGGGCCATATCCCACAGGAAAACAAAACAAGAAAAAATCAGATGGGCATCCGTGAAGACCATTAATTAAATTTGTTGGGCTTAAGATGAAATTTTTTCCAAAGTTTTTAATGTTCTTAGCTAAATATGAATCTTTTCAATGAACTGAGAATTAAAAGGAGAATGGAGTTAGAAGTTGAGTGGAAAAGTCCTGAGAGAGCAGAAAGAAAATTCACACAAAACTGTCACACGGCAGAGGCCAGAATGGAGCTGATGCAGCAATGTCATTATTCTGCAGACTTAGTTGAGACTCTTTGGTGTTTAAGGCAGGCCCAGCGGTGAAGAACTCCTTTAGTTTTTGCTTCTCTGGGAAAGGTCTTACCTATCCTTTGTTTTACAAAAAGAATTACATGGTAAAGTTTCTTGGTTGGCAGAGTTTTGTTTGTTTTTCAGTCTTTTTCCCCCAGCAATTTGAATACAGTCATGGGCCACCTAACAATGTTTCAGTCAACAATAGACCACATATATGTTTGTGGCCACGTAACATTGTAATACCGTATTTTCACTAAGGATGTTCCATATTTAGATGTGTTTAGATAGAGAGATACTTACCACGGTGTCTCAGTTCCCTGCAGTGTTCGGTGCAGTAACACCCTGTACAGGTTAGTTGTCTGGGAACACTGTGCTATTCCACATAGCCTGTGTGTAGTTGCATTCCCTGTAGGTTTGTGTAAGTTCACCCTATGATGCTTACACAATGATGACACTGACTAGAAACACATTTCCCAGAAATAATCTCTATCACTAAACCATACATTATTGAATATAATTCCTCTCCATTCTGGACTGAAAAGCTTATGCTGAGAAATCTGCTAAATCTGCTCTTTTTCTTTCTGTTTTCAAAAACTTTTTCTTTTAACAATGTGGTTTCAAACTATCTCAGATCTTTCTCATTTTGTTTACCTTACTTAAAATTTATAGAGCTCTTGGATGTGGATGAATATTTGCTTTTCCAGATTTAGAAAGTTTCTATGCTATTACTTCTTTGAAAAATCTTTTCACACATCTCTCTCTCTCTCTCTCTCTCTCTCCCCCACCAACAAACACACACACACACACCCTCTTCCTTCACTACCCCTTTTGTATGCAAAAATAAGACTATTTTTGCATAACTCCTCAATGCATAATTTAGTTTTCAATCTGTTTCCTGACTCATAAGTCTTTAACTCTATTTTATTTTTTTCATTGAAATTTTTCTTCTCTGTCTCTACTATTTCAAATGATCTTTCTTTGAGTTTACTGTTTCTTCTATTACTTGATCTAGTCTGGTCTAAAATCTGCTTAAAAATTTTGTCTGACTTATTGTATTCTTGAGCATCAATAGTTTTGTTTAGTCATCTCCTAAATGTTTTGTCTCTATTAAAATTCTCACATTGTTCTTGCGTGATGCCACTAGCTCATCGAACATGTTTCTAACATTTACTTAAAGTTTTCTGCCAGGTAAACCATATGCTTCCTTTTCACTGACGTTGGTTTCTGGACCTTTATGTTGTTCTTCTGTTTGGACCATGTTCCCCTCCTCCTTCATTTTCCTTGACTGTCTTTGTTGCTATCTGTTCATTATAACAAAAGCCATCATACACTCTTCAAAGACGAGGCTTATAGAGATCATCCTCACCAGTCAGCCCAGAGAGTAATTTTGGGTCACTCAAAATTTCAAAGTATTCAAACTTCTGTCTGTTCTTAGTGACTCCCAGGATTTAGAGGATGACTGATTCTTCCAGGTAGGGGAAGTAGAAACTATTTACTCAGGCAGCCCCTTGAAAAGCTGGGCCCCTGGACAAAGTTTTATTATGGAGGTATGATTCACCAAAATAATGTTAGTTGCAGCTTCCCTCAACCAGTCATTAAATATTGAAATGTTATAATTTCTTATTTGGATCTGGGGTTTATTACTGGGTTATTTAGCTAAAATCACAAACTAATTTAAATCTGCCTATTTGGCAAAATGATCTGCTGCCGAATTTCCATTTTCTGTGTTCTCTCTGTGCATTTAAATCTAAATCTGTATTAGACATGCATCCAGAATGCGGAAAAATGTCTTAAAGTTCCTCAATTTATTTAATTTAATGGGGTTTCCAGAAGATGTGAAAATCTCCTTTGTTTATCAAACACCTGACTATTGGTCAATAGTTTTCTCTTTAATTTTTCTCTCTCCTCTCATATTATCTATAATAAGCAAGGAGAAATGAAGACACACCATCGACAGTTTGCTTAGACATCCCACCACCTAAAATTCTAACTGTCACTTACTAATTCTATCTTCATCCAGTGTAACATAACTAAGATAGAAATTCTATAACAAGGAATACATAGTTTCCAGTTCTAATACCACGTTTGTGACAGAAGCAAAGCAGGTGTGCTCTCTGCGAGGTGGTCATCTGAGGTCTGAGACGAGGGGTCACACACGTGTTTTTATGATATTTAAGGGATCGGGCAACAACAGTGATAACAATTCTGATCATCACTGGCTCTTACTGGAAAGTTTACAAGAAAAGTTACTGCTGTTATTTCATTTTAACACCTGGTTAGAATGAAGCTCAGAGGAAGAGGTCACATCCTAGGTCACACAGTGAGGAGAAATGGAGCTGTGCTCTGCTCTCCACACTACGCACAAGATCCCAGGCACGGGCCCAGGTTCCGCTGACACGTGGCATCTGGAGGGCAGTTCTCAGGGGATGGTCTTAGCGCACCTGCTTCCTGGGGCAGGGCGCTTCCTTCTCTCAGTTGTGCACTTGCTCCTTCTGCCAGCTCTGAAGTGACCACTTGCATTGCCATGAATCATTCATATTCTCTCCCTTATTATGGCAAAAAGTATACTTATTAAATTTTCAGTTCATTCTCTCTGAAGCACACTGCGTTAGCAGAAAGAAATAAATCACATTCCTTCACCTCCCCCACAGCCCAAGATTCCTGAAGACAGAGCCGATGTGATGTACTCATAGGTGGATCTCTGATCCACGGAGGTGGCCTTGGTCTTCAAGTTTCATCAATTTCTGGGAAGCCAAGGACTCTCCATCCCCTCCTCACTGCTCTGCAGCTCACCTGAGAACAGCTTTCTCATTGGAATATCATCTGTTTAAGGAATACAAGTCGCTGCTCTAGGATTTGGGGCCTGAGTGCACCTTCTGGATCCAGCCCAGGACTGGAGATACTTTCCAGAACACAACTTCACCGGAGACATGACCAGTCACACTGTTTTACTTGCACAATTTCAGCTTCCTCAGAAGAAAATTAAAATTGCTGAGACTTTTTCATAAATGTTGTGCCATGTCCTTTTTCTGTTTCCTTGCCTGTTCATTTATGTCAGACCAGGTGCCACATCTATGTAATCAGGTTAGAATCCTGCCTCCAGTAACACATGAAGAGGACCTTTGGTTGTACTTTTGGTCTTTGCTCCAAAATGTAAAGATTACAAAAGTCATCACCTCATTCTTACGTCAAGAGGCGTCTGCACAATCTGATCTTCA